TAGGCCTTGTCTAACTGATCTGTATGGTCTGTGGAAGCAGCTTCTTGAGGTGCTTTAGTGTTCCAAATCTTGCTAAGCACAGCAGACATAAAAGGCTGCTGCTAACCCCCAAACACATCTAAACTGACAAACGACTTCGGGCTAGATTTCTGGCACAACCCCAAATTATAGTCTTGTTTAGGGAGGAAGGATCCCTTGTACCTCCTGCCTCCTTTGGGACTGACTCATCCGTGCTGCCAGCTCAAAATCTCCAAGAGGAAAAATAAGAATTAAAGGTGGAGTTATTGCTGATTCTGACCTAATTTAAACTTGCTGTCAAGGGATTTCTGTGGAACATATTCCTTTTCATTACTGTTTTGAAATAATTTGGCCAAAAGCATCCAGGAAAGACAGATGCTTACTATTAAACACATATGACTAAAGTTCAGCTAGTCCTGGAATCTAGCTACCAAATCCAGTTATTAGTTGTAATTTTCATTAGATAAAATCTCTAGCTGTGGACTATAATAGTTGTATTCAATTCTAGCTACAGATAACCTACTGTCTAGTTCTGTGGAGAATGCAGATCAAGAAACTTTGCCCACCTTAGGTACCAAACTACCTGCACTGCAGCGCTCTTCATGTTCCACACCTCTTACCCAAGCAAATCGTTGCACCAAAGAGCAAGACTACAGGCCTAAATCAACTGGTAGAAAGACTCCTACAATGGCCTCCCCAGTACCAGGAGGCCCTTTTCTTCGTCCCGTTCATCAAGTACCCCTTGTTCCCCATGTACCAATTGTACGACCTGCTCATCAACTGCATCCAGGATTGGTCCAGAGAATGCTGGCGCAGGGGGTTCATCCGCAACATCTCTCTCTACTGCAAGCAGGTAATCCATACTTCCCCCCCCCCCCCCGTGATCCACACCCCCCCCCCCCCCCCCTTAAGTTAACGTATCTTCTCTGTAAGACAGACTGTGTTAGGAACAGCACAAACTGATACTCATTACTAGTGTAACTATTCTTTTATTACATCAAAACTTACCTTTAAAACCAGGCAATAAATTCCATCCCATCTAAATATTTGTTTTGCTTTAAGTTACTTACGCTTATTAGGTAAGAAGTTTCCTCACTCTTGTTCAACAGGTATGCTTCCTCCTGGAGTGGACCTGCCTCACTTGCAGGGAATATCTGCTCCCATCCTTGGCCAACCTTTTTATCCCCTACCAACAGCCAGCCATCACATCTTAAATCCACGCTCTGGGACGCCTTTGCAGCTAGCGATGATGCAACAGCAACTACAACGATCAGGTAGGCTAAAACAAAACAGGAGTGTGACTTTTAGAACACTGACTATACTTGTTGGCCTGTTTCTGTGTACTGTGCTAACAGAGAGCTACTTTGGTAATTTAGATACCCGCACAAGATTAGTGATTATAAGTATCAGAGCAGTTTGGGCCACTGCAGGCTTGCTCTTATGCCAGAAGAAAGTCCAAGTGAAGCATTCGGTTTCAAGATAGGTGTTGCTATTCACAGATCTGCCCCTTGCAGCATGTGTGCAGTCTTTTTCCTCTCTTGCTGGGTGAGAGGCCACCCACCAACCTGTCTCAAATAAAATGCTGTTTGATGCTGGTGTTCCAGTTAAAACCTGCATGATAACTGTGTCCAGAACTGGCAGTGTCAAGCAGTTTATGGAAGTACTAATGAGAATAAACATGTGGGGTCTGGATTTTCCAGGGCTGATGGAATAAGAGCTGCATTCAGCTCACATGCCTTATCAGGCTATTGCTCTGGGCAAATCTCAGTGTTGGGTGAACATGTTACTCCACCCCTAATAGCTTTATGTTTCACAGGCACTGGAGCACAGGGATCACCCGCTGGTGCACAAACAACCCCTCAGAACGTGCTGTCTCGGACTGGATTATCTCACGGGCACACGCAGCTTGACCATCGCCCCAGCCAGAGAAGTGGCTCTCCCATTGGCCTTGCAAAATGGTTTGGTTCAGATGTCTTGCAGCAGCCTCTCCCTTCCATGCCATCCAAAGTCATCAGTGTAGATGAACTGGAATACCGGCAGTGAACAGTGACCACTGGGTGGGACACTTGCAATTCTTTAGACTGGATAAAAATGTCCATAGTCAGGACTTCACATCTGTTTGTTTTTTTGGGGCTTTTATTTTTAGCACTCTGTGCAAAATTTCTTTTTGAGAGACTAAAGCACATGGCACCTGTCCTGGTCTCATGTCTGCATCAAGACTAAAGGATCCATTATGGCTTGAATAGTGAAGCCTGAAGAAATTTAGATGCAAGACAAAGCCAGTTTAATCCTGGAAGTGTCTATTTTTTGTTTTTGTAAGATATGTGAATGAAGTGCTGATATTCTCTAGTGTAGGGGTAGCAGCTATGGATTCCTCCTGCAGAGAACTAAATGTATAGACCCTTGTGTACAGACTTGTGTATAAACAATCTTTTGTATATATACACATAGAATAGCCTTTTTGAATCTATAAAGCTGTACATAAGAGTAGCTGATAACAGTTGAGCTTTAGTTGTGCCTATGGTTTGGCTCTTTCTCCATTGTACATGTGGGACTTTCTTTAAGATTAAAGTTGCATATCCTAAGTGTGAGTGAACAGGATAAAGTTGCTTTGCCTTTTCTTGCTGCTCATCTCCTCTAGGTCTCCCTCTCATTATTCTGTCACATACTGTGCACTCAGTGTAGCTAAAGTGTCAAAGTAAAAAGCCCACATCTTGCTGTCTGTATAACAAAGGTCTGATTCCTTGTGTGTATGACTCTTGCCATCAGATGAGAGAATTGTTTAGTCTTCAAACAGCCTTGAGGATGGGACCTGGTACAGTAATGATAAAGCCACATCTTCAGTCTGCTGTAAGCAAAGAGACTGTAGGTACCTTCTGGTCATAGTCCTTTCCAAAGGGATGGTGCTGGTCCTTGTTTAGCTGCAGTATTTTCCTTGTTTTAATCTTCCAACCCAGTTATAAAGGTCATCAAAATGGAGCCTTTAAATCCTCACCCTTCAACTCCTCAGTCATAGCTGTGGTATGTTCTATACTGCCTTCAGTTCTATTTATAGAAGGGAGTCCCAAGAACTGTCCTAAATCTAGTGTGCATCTATTGATGCAATTACTGTGAAATTTGCCTTTGGGGTCTTGTTCTGTGGCTTGAAAGGGGGAGGATAGGGTAGTTTTGTGATCTTGCTGTGTATATTTGGTTTTAAAATACTATGTTCCTTTTAAGCCTGTTTCACTTTCCTGAACAGTTAAGTGTTCTCTTCCATCCTTCTACTGCATGGTTCCTCACTTTCTCACTTGTGCTGAGTCTAGTACTGCTGTCATGTCCTCTATCTAGCTTAGGCCATTGTGCTCTTTTAAAAAAGGTGAAAGCAAAACCAGAATTCTCACGGACTTGCTCTTTCTTAGGTCTCACTGAATGCAAAACCAGCAGCAGAAAAAAAAAAAAAAATCACTTGACTGTATTATAACAATTGCCAGCATGCTGTGGTGGGTTTGTTTCAGTCCAGCAGAGACAATGTTGTACAGAAATAGCAAGCTGAAATCTCCAATGTGGAATCTGTTGGGGGTCACCCATACTTCTAGTGGTTGTTCCTAAAACAATCAGTGTAAAACATGCAATCACCAGCTTGTCCTTGTAAGATTGTTTTCATACTTTTTTAACTTGACACTTTCCCAGTAACATTCTGTAAATAAAGTTGATTCTACCAGCTGTCTGTATCAACTAGTCTTGAACTAAACTCTGTCAATATATTGATTAGTTTTTAGCATTGCTCTTGTGTGTAAGCTAAAACCACAGTTTGAGCTGAATCTGCAGAAAATTTCAACTTGAATTTATCTTCCACAGGGGGGAGAGGAGCAATCTGCTTTGAAGGTAACTGGCCTCACTGAAGACATACAATGCAATTGCTGCATTTAAATGTTTCTGTACGGCCATGGTTAAGTGTAAGGAATGAGATTTCAGTGTACTAGAAGAACTCATAATATTAATGAGCTCTAAAGAAAGGGTGAATGATATTCACTGTTCATAGCTTCTGCTCTGCCCCCTTCCAGTCAAGGCTGATAACCCCAGCACATCTGCAGCAGTTAAGGTCACTTATGCAGGAATCTACTTCTAAGCATTTTTTCCCCTAGTAGTTTTTGTAAGCTTTCTTCCCAGGCTGAGTAGCAGCCACTGTTGCAAGGATTTAGTGCTTGAGTGGGTGTCTGAAATCACTACTTCTCATTTATATGCCTAGTAATGTATTTTTGATACATTTAAGTAAACATCCTTACTTCCTTTTTGTAGGAGAACAAATGCTAGTGGCTAATGCATTTGATAAGCTTTCTGCTCATGTTAGAGCTCTATTAATTCCTATTAAAAAGCAACAGAACCACTGCTTTTCGAGCAGCCTGCTTCTCTTGTGCAACTTATTTGATTTCTCTAAGCAGGAAGTTCTTTTAAGAAAACTTATAAGCTTCTAGTCACTAACACAGTAGAACACAAGCATCTAGTTTACTTCCACTCATGTAAACTGAAAAAGTGACTGCTCATGAGCAGAAGCTACCATCTTTTCCACAACTGCAGGACTATTAATAGCCTTGAAGTATTCAAACAAGAACATTTCAGATTAAGGCAGCCAAAGCTAGAACTCTGTGTCCTCTAGCATTGTTTCATAAGATACAGTTCTCCAGCATCTGCTTTTCATGTTTTGTTCTGATTTAGAACAAAGTAATTCCTGATGTGTGAACTTTTTTCCAATTTGGAAAGACAAGTATATCAAAGCTTCCTTGTGAGATTTTGCCCTTATGAAAGTCACTTAACATGAGTTTCCATGTGTAACTTCTGCCAGAACAGGACACTGCAGTACAAGTTGGCCAGGAACATCAAGTTTACTATGCAGTAGTGTACTACCATAAAACCCCAATACCCATTTGCTGTAGGTTTGATAGAAAGGGCCTGTTCTTTGCCACTTACAACTAATGACAAGTTTCAGGCACAGCAGCAAACCATGTCAGAAAAACTTTATTTCTTCACAATCTGAATAACATCTTCATCTTCAAGAGTATGGTCTTTACCAACTTTTTGAGGGTTGTGTTTAACAGATGAACCCCAGACCAGTGCACTGAAAGGAAAAGAAAGATCAAATTTAAAAGGCTTAGAAGTATAATATGCAAACAGCAGAACAACAGCTATTTCTGTCACAAAGCTAATACAGAAAGCAATGCTTAAGAGCTATTTTTATTCTCCTGCAAGTACCTGGATGAGTGGCCTGCGTGAACCAGAGTACAAGCAGTATAAAAACAAAGTATGAAGTCATCCAAAATACTTGTGCCTACAGGACAATGGCCTGTAATGCTGCATCTAGCACTACTTTCAAATATAAATAAAAACATTTTCCCCATAGAGGAAATTTATCCAGGAAAGAGCATAGCAACATCAAATACAGTAATTTAAGTATTGGGTTTAACAGTCATAGGGAGATCTATTCCATTCAAAAAAAAAAAATAAAAAAAAAATCAAACCCTGTTTTCCAGTCTAGTTTACAAGAGAATGAAAGAATATACCAGGAAGCAGATTATTTTCTATTCTCTATAAATTATTCTTTTACAATACTACTTACTATTTAAAGTCTTTAATGAGATTTTTGTGGATCTTCATGCAAAAATCCTCCACTGTGGTCTTGCAGTAAGGTAGTACCACAGGAGAGGTGTAGTCTGGGAGCTGCCCTTTAGGTTTGGTGTAGCTGTAACACAGATAGAACAGTCAGTCAATACCAAAACCTCCTCTTCTCTTTCAACCCATCATGAAATTTCACAGGTTATTCACACTGTCATCCTAGGTGTTTGTGCCAAGTTCCACTATTTTAGTGGTGACGATAGATATTCTGCAAATCGTCTGGTGTTCTTAAGCTGAAGATGCATCTGGGTAGCCAATGGCTGCAACAGGTTATCCCTTGTAACTGCAAAGGTCTATCCCTAGTGAGCTTTCTGTAGTTACTTAAAAGAAGATGAAACAGGAAGAGTTGACGGAAGATAACACCTGCAGTATTATGGTTCTGATTTGTGGGTTTTTTTTCTGAGAAAAACTCAACGTATATTAGGAAAAAACCGACAAAGCCTATAGCCCAGATATACTAAATCCCTTTTTACAATAGATTTTATATTGTCAAGACAAGAAGATAGACACATGCTTAAAAGATTACAATTACTGCATTATCAGTATTAATAGATCCATGCATAAATTCATCCAAAGAAATGCATTAGTAGTATGAGGTAAACCTGTAATAATTTATAGTAAAAATATCTGAAAGGCTAGATGAAGAACTACAGTTCTGTTAAGAGAGCTGAATGCATGTCACTCATGACAGACTGAAAAGAGGTACCTCTGAAATTCATAACTTTGCACTAAATTTGACCAGCAGTCCTTGTTTTCAGGAATTTTTTAAAACTTATTTTGGACCTGATTTCACAAGGTCTTCATTTAATTCGCCTACAAGAAGTTCAAAACACAGCACTTGTGACTGTTAGGAAACCCTGTCCATCACACAAAAGACAAGAGGAGCACAATCTCCAATTTACAGATTAAACATAGTTCAGTGACAAAAGACATCATCATTTGAAAGCTAGAGTTCTATGCTAGTAGAAAACCATTAGAAAATAATCATAATTCACCCATTCTTGAGACATTCTTCAGTCTCAGCCTTACACTTAACTCCACAGAAGGCAGCAACTGGGACTCACATTCGTACTAGCTTCAAGTAGTCCCAAATTTTCTCCAGCAGATCATCAAAGTTCCAGCGATGATGAGCAGATATTGGTACGCAGTGGGGTACTTTGTAAATAATATCTAGTTCCTCAATGGAAATCTGGTCAATTTTATTTAGGACGTAAATGCATGGGATGTAAACCCTGCAAAGAGAAGGAAATACTTACAGCAGCCTAGCAACAATACACTGCTACCTTTGAAAAAGCTTCATTTTTTAAAAGGACAACAAGGTGCTAAACAGCACTTGTTGATACCACATTGCTAGCTTAGTTTCTGTGGGAAGAAAACCTCAAGAGACAATTATTTTCTTTGGAATATAAATTGCAAGTACGCCAAATGCAGGGTCCAACAGTACCTGTTCCCTTCCACAACGTCAATTAGGTCATCAGCAGTGGCATCGCTGCGCAGTGTGACATCAGCATTGTGAATTTTATACTCTGCTAAGATGCTCTTCACTGTTTCAGTATCCAGCTCACTCTGAGGACACTGAACACAGACATGGCATTAAGGAATGGAAGAGTTTACAGTCAAATCAAGTTATTACAATTAATAATGCTATCACCTAGCAATCGCTGCATATAGATTACTAGAAATAACAGCTCCATTTTAAGTTATTGGACTTGATTATGATTTCACCATAGTTAGCCTCAGGAGAGGCTTTATTTATAGTAATGCCCTACTGATAGCTGCAATCAGACATTTCAGAAGTAGTGTCTCCTGTCAATCTGGGACCAGCTGCAATACAAACCCACATATCTACTAGTTCAGTGCCCAGACAACTACATGTTAGGTACCTAGATCCCAGAGCAGAGTTCTGGGTTTTGGTATCTCTGGCTATTTCTATGCTTTTAAAGATGCAGTGGTAAATGGGAAATGAGGAGTACTCCAGGTTGCAAGGCCTGGAACTCTGAGCAATCTTCTCCAGAAGAATGCTGCAGCCACCAAGTGAGAGGCAGTTTTTGCACACTCTCCTTCGGGCTTCAGAACGTGTATTTGTTGGAAAAAGCAACCTAGCCTCTGATTTGGGGGTGGAGAGGTGGTCACGCTCCTAGGGCAGGTACAGATGGCCTCCAAGAAAAGTAACTGCCTACAGCACAGTACAGCAGTTCAGCCTCTAAAGAAGTCATAGCATAGGAATGGTCCCAGGCACACCATTAACTGCAAATGCCTCCTTCTTCAAGCCATTTTTTTTTTTTAGTTTTGGTTAAAGAAAACTTTCAACTTACTGTGGCTGTAAGGTTAATGCCTCCTTTATCCTTTTTTTTAAAGCCGATATTGGGGGGCTTACTATTCAGACGGATTCCAAATCCCTCCAGTTCATTCTCAATGATTTTCTTGTGACCAAGGGGTTTCAGCACATCCAGAACAATCAGAATGAGATTACAGGTTCGAGCAACTAAGAATCAGAAAAAGAAAGTCATCTCTCAAAAAAGTATACTCACACAATCTGAGACAAAACACCACAAAATACGGCTTAGTGGACTTGGTGACAGTATCAGAAACAGTGTGGCCAGCAGGAGCAGGGAAGTGGTTGTCCCTCTGTACTCGGCACTGGTGTGGCCACACCTCAAATACTGTGTTCAGTTTTGGGGCCCTCAGTACAAGAAAGACATTGAAGTGCTGGAGCATGTCCAGAGAAGGGCAATGAAGCTGGTGAAGGGTCTGGAGCACAGGCCTTATGAGGACAGGCTGAGGGAACTGGGGTTGTTTAGCGTGGAGAAGAGGAGGCTGAGGGGAGACCTTATCACTCTCTACAACTTCCTGAAAGGAGGGTGTAGTGAGGTGGGTCTTGGTCTCTTCTCCCAAGTAGTTAGCGATAGGACAAGAGGAAATGGCCTCAAGTTGCACCAGGGGAGGTTTAGATGGGATACTAGGAAAAATTTCTTCATCAAAAAGGTTGTCAAGCATTGGCATAGGCTGCCCAGGGAAGCGGTTGAGTCTCCATCCCTGGAGGTATTTAAAGGACATGTAGATGTGGTGCTTAGGGACATGATCTAATGGTGGACTTGGCAGTGCTAGGTTAATGGTTGGACTTCATGATCTTAAAGGTCTTCTCCAACCTAAATGATTCTATGATTCTATATTAAACCCCTGAAGGCCAGTACATTGCTTATTTTTAAATTCCGGTATAAGACTGAAGTTCGTAGGGCTGGCCAAGCATCACTGACACAGATCCTTACATGTTACAAGAATCACAGAGACTGGAAAAATCTTCCCTCCTGTCTACATTCATAGCCCAGAATGATGACAATAAACTAGGTAAAGAAATTAAGACAGCAGCCTTGTTTAATATGGGATCACATCTGCCTTCAAAACTGGGAATATACTTTCACTGCAGTGTCAACGCAGAGCACGAACTCAGCAAATGCATAAAGCCAGAACTGAAAACAGAACGACATGAAAACAGCTACTGCTTCACATCAGGCAGCTCAATTCCAGCATACAATTCAGCTTCTTAAAGACATCCGAAATGGTGACTCAGCCCTTCATTCTCATAAGCTGTACTAACTGAACCAGTGATAGGATGCTGCCTCCAGCTCTAATACAATTCTAATATACTCACCTGCAATGACTTGCCGTCCTCTGCCTTTACCATCCTTGGCACCTTCAATAATTCCTGGGAGATCAAGTAGCTATTTGTTCAGAGGAAGGAAAGTAACTCATGAGAAAAATATTTCTCCTCATGGAGAAAATAAATCCTACTTTTACCTTTCTCCTAAACCAGCTGACTACTGCAAATCTGAGTAGAATATAGCAAAACTGTTTCCCCTTTGATTCTTGTATTATCCCTGGTGTCCTATTAGTACAACGGAACAGATTGTCTCATACAGAATATAAGAACTATCACAGGAACTTCTCCCCAGAGCCAAGTGAAAAGCAGAGTAAAATTAGTACCTCATGGAAACATTTCCAACATATTCTCAAGCACTTCTCCATGTCACTTCTAACCTGCTAACGTCAGGCTAGACCATTCAGCCATAACACCACTGCATCTATATATACAATCTTATCCTCACAGACACAAAAAGATCTCACCTGTATCTTTGCTCCTTTGTATCTAATGACTCCAGGCACAGTAGTTAGTGTAGTGAATTCATATGCTGCCACTTCAGAGTATACACCAGCAAGATTACTTAGAAGAGTAGATTTCCCCACTGATGGAAAACCCACAAACCCAATTCGGGCATCACCTGTCTTTGCAACATCAAAACCTGCAAATAAGAAGCAAAAATATTCGTTTAAAGATCAACATTTTCTATCTTCTAAGGTTTTGGACAGCACTCCCACTACTACTTTTAATATTGCCTGAGTGAAAGCCAGGTAAGCTTCCCTAACGAGGAAGATGAGAATATGAATCAGAAAGTTCATCATCTATATTGCCTTGCACCACTTTTTCTGTGTAAGCCTCCATGGCATGTACCTGTCAATAAAGCATAGACTTCCAGGCTTCCCAGTGGGCTATACTTGACTTGGGTACAGGTGGAGCATTCCCTTTAAGCACTGCAGCTTACACAGTTCACACCTTTATATATAAAAATAGATGCCTGCTGCAAGATGCTTCTTCATGTAAAACCCCTAAGACTTCAGCAAATACAAGATTATATTAGCCAAAACGCATAAGGCCTTTCATTTACAATTCAGCAAGGGGCACCCTAAAGCTCTAGAAAGGGCCACAAACCACGGCTAAGGTCCTGTACCGGGAAGGATAAGAGGAAGAGAAGGCGGCTGCTCCAATTTATTCAGCAGAGAGTCTGTGACGATTTAAGCCGACAAGAGCCACCCCCGTCAGATCGATTTCCGCCACACGCCCCTCACTTCAGCAAGGAGGAGCGGCCACTTCTGCAG